GCCCCACTTGTGCCCTCTCACAGTCTGGGACCCCTCGGGAGAGATCCACCTGCTGGCTTAGGCCCGCTCCCTGGGTGGCAGATGGCAGGCCTGATCCCTTGGTGCCTGCCCCCCATCCCTGGGTCGTGCACACGGCAGGGCCGATACGGGGGTTGGGATGCCGCCCCGGGTCATGCACACGGCAGGGCTGATCCGGGGGTTGGGGCGCCGCCCCGGGTCGGGTTGCACACGGGACACCCGGGCGGGCCGGCCAATCGCTGTTGCACCCCCCGGCCACCGCGGGTCAGGTCGCACACGGACACCCACCGCCCGGGTCACAGATAGCAACCCCGGATGGTGGCAGGGCAGACGGAATGGCACTGTCCCACCCCACCACCCCGGGTCGCAAATAGCAGGCCCAGATGGCAGCAGGGCAGGCGGGATGGCACTGTCCCACCCTGCCTGCAGTATGCAAATTAGCTGCCATCTTTGTTGGCGGTTAATTTGCATATCGTGTTGATTAGCTTATGGGAGGAGTAGCGAAGGTACGGTCAATTACCATGTGTGTCTATTATTAGATAGGATGCTACTGAGTGAGAAAGACAGAAATCACATCGGAGCAGCAGCCACACCAGAGGCCACTGAGAGAGAGAGAGAAAACCAGTGATGACAGAAAGGAGTCCAAAGAGCCTAGCGAGTTCTTAGAAGGAAGGCAAAAAAAGATAAATATTTCCAGCCTCCAGTTCTCCTTCCTCACTCAATTCAAAAATGTTCCCATTTATATAGCAGCACCTATTCTCCCATTATCAACTTTCACAGATTCCCCTCCTCAGAATACAGCTAATGCAAAAACAAGAACAACAACAAAAAATTCAAACCACCCTAAGTTAAGTTTGGCAACCTAACAGTCACAGGCAGAAGCAGCTTGCCTGAGTCTTCACCACGGAGTCAATGCTCCACTGCGCTGCTGGCAACCATCAAGCCAATGCTTGCAAAGCTCTCAAGACATGGAGCCTGTGCCAGCAACAAGCACACCGCCTGGGAGCAGTCAGTGACGAGTGCAGCCCAGCCCCTCACCACAGGCAGGCATCATCAGCACAGGAAGTTGTGAGCTAAGCCAATGCTGTGCTCTGATTGAAAGGACAATTTCTTTAAAAGAACTTCTCCTTCTGGGTTAGAGACAAGAATGAAGAACACATGCTGAGGTGGGGCAGCAAGAGACAGGATAGCACAAGTTCCCACCTGTCAGTAACAGCCCCCCTCCAGCACCTCCTTGGGGAGCTAAAATGGTGATGTCACCTCATCTAACTCCAGAGCCTGCACACTCTGAGATGCAGTCCTTGGTCTCCACATGGAATCCTTCGGATGCTGCCCACCTTCCCAGCTTTCTCCAACTCCCTTGAGCCTCTCCAGGCACCTCCAGAATTGCCAGGTCAACTTCTGGGCAAGGTGCATTTACACTCACATGTTCTGCACAAATCTCTTGTTTTGCCCAACACTGAGAGAGAAAACCAGTGATGACAGAAAGGAGTCCAAAGAGCCTAGCGAGTTCTTAGAAGAAAGGCAAAAAAAGATAAATATTTCCAGCCTCCAGTTCTTCCTCACTCAATTCAAAAATGTCCCATTTATATAGCAGCACCTGTTCTCCCATTATCAACTTTCACAGATCCCCCTCCTCAGAATACAGCTAATGCAAAAACAAACAAACAAACAAAACCTTAATATTCATTCAGGCTTAATTATAAAAGATTTAATTTTTTAAAAAAAAGTCTGCCTCTTCAGAAACAGAGGAGTATTTCTTAATTAACTATATCATTAGTCATAATTGCCCTGAAGTTTTCAAGGACTCTGTTTTTCCACAATGGATACATTTCACCCTCTTTTACCCATTTTATAGGCAAGTCATCCACCACTTGCAACTTGCATATCTACCCATAATTTTTATGGCAACATCTGAGCACAGTAAATCCAGTGTGTCGAGCCACAGTTGTCATCAGAGTAAGGTGGAGGATGCTGTGGGTTTCTTGTGGAAATGCCTGCTGGGACTTGCAGGAGGCAGCTGATCGATGATTCTCTCTCATCATTGATGTTTCTATCTCTCTCTCCCTTTCCCTTCCTCTCAGAAGTCAATAAAAATATTTTTTTAAATCTTTTTCAATGGTATCAGCTTCTTGTCTCTTAAAAGTTCATCCAGTTTTAATTATTTCCATGTAATAAAACACGTGGTAACAATCAAAATTATTGGGGTAAATTCCTTTTAAAAAGTACATGTTTGCATAGTGATTCTTTATATCCCTTTAACTCAGCATATCTATTTTTGAATTTCAGGATTGTGGGTGGGGTGGTGGGAAAGCACCATTTGAGCTATGCCTAGGACTGTGGAAAGAAGACCCAGTGTGGGCTTGGGAAATGGCACATGGTACCCAGGCAGAGAGAAGCCCCCAAAGCACAGCCTTAAATGCCACTGGGAGGCAAGGGAGGCACAACTGCTTGGTGGCAACAGGAGGCCTCTTAAACTTTGTAAGTAAAACAACCATAGCTCTGGCAGCAGTACAGACGAAAGACTTGAAAAAACAAGGTGAGAGAGAGAAAACGGGGGAAAGAATTCCAGGTGAAGGGACATGTACACAGTAAAGGGAACTGAAAAACTCAGCAGGATCTTTGGGTCAGTTCTGTCATGATATAGGACAGAGAGTGAAAAGAAGTGGTGGCACATCAACAGGAAAGGCAGGTTGGGTCCATTTTCAGGTTGATGAATTTGAATGTGACTTGGAAAGCCATGCAGAACCATGGGTTTCTCTGTCCTGGAAAGACTATGAGGAAAACTGTCCTTAGGAACTGTGTAGGGCAGCGGTTCTCAACCTGTGGGTCGCGATCCCTTTGGGGGTCCAATGACCCTTTCAGAGGGGTCACCTAAGACCATCGGAAAACACATATATAATTACATATTGTTTTTGTGATTAATCACTATGCTTTAATTATGTTCAATTTGTAACAATGAAATTGGAGGTCACCACAACATGAGGAACTGTATGAAAGGGTCACGGCATTAGGAAGGTTGAGAACCACTGGTGTAGGGGGTTCATTTTAATGGGGTGGATGTTCATGAACCAGGAGACAGCCATAACAAATTGGGGCTGAAGATAAGTTTATTCCCAAACTTGATACCTGTCAATGACATGTAAAGTATCTCATTTTAAGCAGAACTGAATGGATGTAAGCAAGACCACTAGGAGATGCTCCACATGGGAGTACTGAGGAACATTCCATACAGGAAACAAGGATTTCCCCCTTCAAATGTCACCATCAGCCCAGGCCACACACTCGGGGGCAGCCACATCACTACCTTTAACCTTTCCACCGTCTCTGCCTCTGCTGAGCATGTAAAAATTTAATCCACTAAAGGGAAGCATCCCTGTGATGAAATACCCATAAGCCTCTACCAAAAAAATTAAAATCACATTAGAAAAGTAACTGTTCTTTAAACATGACACTTCTTGGCAAATAGTATATAATTTAAAATATCACCAGCTGTACAAAAGTTGATCTCCACTAAACACTATTCATTAGCAAACTAATAGAATTACCTCATTTCTTTGTCTCTGTATAAACTTAGGGGTACTATGGCTTATTTACCCCACAGGACATTCTGATAAAGGGGTCATGAGTGGCACAACCACTTTGAACCTCTGAGAAGAAGATGCCACATAAATCTAAGGTGTTATTTTCCTTATTTCTTTTGACTATAGAGCCTTGGGAAAGCTGTCAGATCTTTGGACTCATGAATTATGAATGCAAACTACTTCTTAGGTTTGACAGCTTCAAAAATTCAGGATATATATTTTATTGCCCATGCCCAGATCAAGAAAAGAACAATTTTAAAACATGACATAGAACAATAAAAAGACTAAATGTTTGATGCTACATGCAATAAACACACATGCATGCACACATACCGATGGCAGAATAAAGGTGGCCACAGGTTTTTTACATTCTTTGTATTGTTTAGTGGAGATCAACTTTTGTCCCCTCCCCCAGAACTGTGGTCAGTAACTGGTCTGGCACATAGAAGACAGGGATAATGATGCTATGCTGGTTTCCATGCTGGTGACACCATGTGTAGACACTACAGTCAACAGTCCCAGCTGAGCCCAGGTTTCTAGCCACCCCCACCAAGCACCAGGCATCATGTGAAAGGCCCTATCTAGCACCTTTCAGAGCATGTCATCTGCCAGCTGAATATCCCCCAGTAACCCCAAGTGGAGCAAAAGAATCACCCAACTGAGCCCTGCCCAAATTCTTGACCCACCAAATCATGAAATATCATTAAATAGTGACTGATGTAAGCCATCAAATTTCACGTGGTCTGTTATGCAGCAATACCTATATATACATTAATTTTCTAGCAACAATTTTATTAATCAACTTATAGTTATGTGCTATTTGAAACTGCCAAATAAGGAAGAAAATTCTTATATGAGTATGTCTATCAGGTCTATAAAATTCAGTATTAGTATATTCTTAGAGCTACAGAATATTTGAAGACAATGTTTTAAATAGTGTTACCAAGAACTGTGCTTTGTAGCTCTGAAAGCACCCTTGAAGAAATTATTTCCTACTAGGAGTCCTGCACACAAATCCGTGCACCAGTAGCTCGATGCCGCCCTCCTGTAGCTCTCCCCACCCCACCCCCACTCACAGCTGCTGCCCTCCCCCCTCCTGTAGCTCTCCGCCTCCCACTTACTTGCTGCTCTGCCCCCTCCTGTAGCTCTCCACGCCCACCTGTGTGTACCTCACTGGCCCACCCTCCTGCTGATCCATGATCTGGTCGTAACACGCTTGGTCATTACACCTCAGGGCGTAACGGCTAATTAGCATATTCCTCTCTTATTATATAGGATTTTAGTCACCTCTTGACAGTTTTGGCACAAACACTGGAAGCTTTATGCAGGTCCTCGGCTTGCTCAGTGCGCACAGCAGTATGGGAGGATCAGGAAGGAGAGCTGGAAAGGAGTACATACCTGAGCCCAGGCTGACAGTGCAAAGAAAGGCATCTTGATCACCTGTCCTCTTTTCCCTACTTTTAGTGACATATGAAATGTATAAGGAGCCATGCTGAAAGGGAAAACAAAAGTGACAATGCTGTGTTGCAGATGATAAAACTGGTTCACAGGCAAGCAAATCATCTGACCCATGTTTAGGTTCAAGAGGCCTCAGACCAGAAGCACATATTTGCCAGCATCGGCCAGGCCACCATGGTGGTCTGATGGAGGAGTGGAAATTGTTTAATGGCAATGTTCTACAAAGTTGAATGAAAAGTAAATAAAATGAACCCTATGGGCTTCCTTTTACAGCGCCCACAGTCTTTTCTCATAGTACTGTTTCCTCAACACAAGGATGTATATCCACAAACAAACTGCAGAAACTCTAGCAAGAGGAATATGTTTAGTCTATTACAAGCCCTCCTCCTTACTCTACCTCAAACCAAAAATCTTAGTTGTCCTGTTTCTCTATATTACAGGCACCCAGAGGCTATCACCTGACTCACGCCATCACTCATGTATTTCACTCATCTTGACCTTTCCCTCTCCCATTCACTACCCTCCCACCCCTCTTTTTACTATCTCTCCTGGACCCCTTAACATATTTCTGTTAATAAAGTGGTCATTAAACTCAGATTAGAATGACATTAAGTTAACAGATAAAACCTAAGAAACACCTAATACAGCTGTTGTCAAATGTTTCCCCAAATAAAATTCAAAATTAACAGGCAGGAAAATTGACTTCAAAAGTCAGAAATAAAAATGTACAGACTGCCCTGACCAGTTTGGCTCAGTGGCTAGAGCGTCGCCCTCCAAGCTGAAGGGTCCCGGGTTCGATTCTGGCCAAGGGCATGTACTTTGGTTGCGGGCACATCCCCAGTCGGGGGTATGCAAGAGGCAGCTGATCGATGTTTCTCTCTCATCGATGTTTCTAACTCTCTATCCCCTTCCCTTCCTCTCTGTGAAAAATCAATAAAATATATTTTTTTAAAAAAATTAAAAATAAAATGTACAGACTGACCCATCCTATATAATAAAAGCCTAATATGCCAAGTGTCCAATCCTCCGGTCAACCAATCAAAGCGTAATATGCTAAGGCTGCTCAACCGCTCACTATGATGTGCACTGACCACCAGGAGGCAGAGGCTCCGACCAGTAGGTTAGCTTGCTGCTGGGGTCCGGCCGTTGGGACTTAGCGAGACGGGCCAGACACTCCCTGGAGCCCTCCCACGGTCCCTCCCCGGCTGGCCAAACTCCCGCATCCCTCCCCAATCCCAATCATGCACCAGTGGGCCCCTTGGTCTGGCCTGCACCCTCTCACAATCCGGAACCCCTCGGGGGATGTCGGAGAGCCAGTTTCAGCCCGATCCCGCTCAACGCAGGAGCTGCCCCCTGGTGGTCAGTGCACTCCCACAGGGGGAGCGCCACTCAGCCAGAAGCCTGGCTCACAGCTGGTGAGCGCAGCAGCAGTGGCAGGAGCCTCTCCCAGCTCCGCAGCAGCACTAAAGATGTCCTACTAACAGTTTAGGCCCGCTTCCCATGGTGAGCAGGCCTAAGCCGTCAGTCGGACATCCCCTGAGGGCTCCCCGACTGCGAGAGGGCGCAGGCTGGGCTGAGGGACCCCCCCCCCGCCCACCGAGTGCATAAATTTCGTGCACCGGGCCTCTAGTTACCACATAAAGGACCAGCCCTTGAGCACCCTAGCTGATCCTCCCAACTTGTATTCTGGAAATTTCTGTGTACAGCAGGATCCCACATCACTTAATACAATAACCCCCAAAAGATCTAGAAGTTGTTCTAGACCAGCAGTTCTCCACCCCAGACTGTAGAGAGAACCACTGAGAAGCTGTGTAGAAATACCAATATCCAACCCCTACTCAGAGATCTACTTCCCTTGCTCTGTGTGGAAACTGGACATTGGTTTTTAGAAAAGCTTTCAAGTGTTCCTATTTGCAGTCAGGGTTGAGAGCAACTGCTCTGGTATCATCTATGGATCTGGTTAAAACCCAAATTCTAATAGAGTCTGGATGAGGTCCATGATTCCATATTTCTAATAAGCTTCCAAGTAATGCCAATGCTGCTACCTGAGTAGCAAGGGTCTTCAAGAGCTAGCCCAGCCTCATTCACCCTCACCAACTTGATCATCCCAGAGATGCACTTCTTCCCCAAATTCACGAGCCATACAAGCAAATGCAAGTCAGGAGAGAACCTGTCTCCTCCTATGGGCACTCATTCTTGTGGTTGCACATACTAACATATGAGCCACACCAATGTGCCATGGGGTGGTGGTCACAGTGCAGGCTCTGCAGTCAGAGAAGGCCAAGCCATGCATCACATGTATCTTTCTTGTCCTTTTGCAATTTTCTTATTCTCTTTAGCCCAAGTGTTCCCACCTGTAAACTTGGGATTGCATCAACACCACCACCACTCCATGGAATTTAAGAGTACACAGAAAGCACTGAACCCAGTACTTATTACCTAATATACAAAATGCTCCATAAATGTAAACTATTACCAGTAATAATGGGATTACCTCCACTATTTCCTGACACCATTGTTTCTAGTTTCTCCTCCTACCTCTCTGAAACTCCTCAAAGAAGTGGGACTGAGAATCATGATAGGCATCTGGTTAAAGGTACTTCTTCAACAACTCCCAACCTGATAGGCAGATACCCCTGATATAGCACCCCTTGTGCAAGAGCTTTCAATCATCAGTCCTGACCCAAAAAATGTAATGGCACCAAAAGCAAAGACTGAACTAAAAGTACCCACACCTCCAGGACCAAAAACTCTTCTGCTTCAGACTAAAATCTCACATATCAAAACAGACTAGAGCAGTGATGGCGAACCTATGACACGCGTGTCAGAGGTGACACGTGAACTCATTTTTTTGGTTGATTTTTCTTTGTTAAATGGCATTTAAATATATAAAATAAATATCAAAAATATAAATCTTTGTTTTACTATGGTTGCAAATATCAAAAAATTTCTATATGTGACACAGCACCAGAGTTAAGTTAGGGTTTTTCAAAACACTGACATGCCGAGCTCAAAAGGTTCGCCATCACTGGACTAGAGAGAACTGAAATGTTCTAACCAATAAAATAAAATAAAACAAGGTAAATATGTGAAGTGATAGATGTGTTCATTAACACAATGGGGGAAGCACTTCACAACAATGTGTAAGCAGTATATCAAATCACCACATTGTACACTTTAAATATCTTCCTGCCCAGCCAGTGTGGCTCAGTGGTTGAGTGTCAACCTGTGATTCAGGAAGTCATGGTTCGATTCCCAGTGAGGGCACATGCCCAGGTTGCAGGCAGGCTCAATCCCCAATGGGGGGACATGCAGAGGCAGCTGATCAAATATTCTCTCTCATTGATATTTTCTATCTCTCCCTTGACTTTCCTCTCTGAAATATTTATTTATTTAACCGTTTGAGTCCCAAGCAGCGCAATCGCACTGCTTGGTATTTCTCGACATAAAATAAAACAAGCGCTATCACGCTGTTTGGGTCTTTTCGTACTCATTTAGAGAAAGCACGGTTGTGCTGTTTGGGATTCTTCGACAGTGTTTTTTCAATACCCCCTGGGACTCAAACGAATCGTATGTTTTCTCGACATAAAATCTCAGCAGCGCAATCGCGCTGCTTGGGACTCAAACGGTTAAATATTTTACTATTTTATTTGTCAATTATACCTCAACTAGAGGCCCAATGCACGAAATTCGTGCAAGTGTAGGCCCTCGCAGCCCCAGCTGCCTCACAGCCCCATGGCCCTGCTCCCAGCCCACTGGTTGTTCTGGAAGGTTGTTCCACCATCTGGTCTAATTAGCATATTAGCTCTCTATTATATAGGATAAACCTGGAAAGAAAAATTCCCCACCAAGTTATTTCTCTACAGTTTTGTTATAAAATACTGGGGTATTCTGGAAAGTGTTTTTCCACTAATTTTTAGAGAGAGAGTGGAGGGATGGAGTGAGTGAGGAGGAGAGAGAGAGAGAGAGAGAAAAACAGCGAAGTCAGAAAAACACATCAATTGGTTGCCTCTCACATGTGCCCTGACTGAACCGGCATGTGCCCTTGAACAGGAATTGAACCCACAAGCCTTCTATGCACGAGACAACACTCTATCCACTGAGCTACATTGGACACGGCTGGAAAATTTTTGAAAACACCAATCATCACTTTCATTAGCAAAGCACAAAACACAGGAAGTTGTGAAAGAAAGAGCTAGATATAAATTTCAGTCTCCCATGCTGCTCTATCTCTTTTTCATGTCCTGTCTTAAACAAGTTTTGGATTTCAACTGCACTCATGTGAAACAATGTTTACAAACAAATACTAGAAGGGATCAAAGTCAAAATATGAGCACTGCACAACTAGATGAGCTTTATTATTTTAATCACTACTTAGCAACTTCTCTAAACACATATGGAGAGAGGGGGAAAGCATAATTTTAATTAATAAGATGTTTTAAGATCTACAAAGAAAGGAAAACAACTTTAAATATTTTGGCATGGAAAATATGAATGAGAGGAGTTAGTCCTCTTGAACACGTAGCCAGTGCATTGTTGATAATTTGGCAAGTCTGACGTAAGAACACTACCATGCCCAGAACCTGAGCAAGCCTTCAAGACACCACTCCCTATTTAGTATGATAAATAGGTCAATTCTTGGGTGAAGTCTTCAGGTGACTAGCATTGGGTGCTTTTAGCTGAACCCAAGGTATTAAAAGTTGCATCAATCTGTCAACCATTACAACCACCTATTTAAGCAGATGATGTTCTGTGTTCACTGAATGCTGCCTTAGCTGCCCAAAATCATCGTGAGATCCAGAGAAGGGTAAAGTGTTATGGACACATGAATTATAGGGGCCTATATAATAAAGGATTAAGGAGTTCACAAATGTTGACTTTCCCATTTTACTTTATAGCTCAGATTATCTTTGAGCTCCAGGATATTCTCAGAACTACTAGTTAATAAATACTAAAGGACTTTAAAATATCTGTGCATTTTACAAATATCAATAGTATTTACAGTTTCTAGTTTCATTCTTTCCAAGTTTCAAAAGATGTTTTAATGTAAAATGTGTAACCAATGTCTTTTAAAATATTTAAATACAGCAAATAAATTTTACATAATTTCATTTGATCTAGCAGTATGGCAGATTTTGTAAAGTAACAAGGGGTAAGAGTAAAAGCAAAAAGGCACATAACTACTAGTAAGACGGTTGGACAAATACAATTCTCCTCAATCTATAATAAAAGAATCATCTTTAACTACTGGGTAACCAGAACATTCTTTTTCCTGTATTTCCAGCTGATTTCTTAGTACTAACACTTGAACTTCTGTACGTAATACTTTTAATGAGGAAAATGATCCTTTAACAAATCATCTTGAAAAATAATACTTGGCAGCATAAACAAAATAAAAATCAAGATGATGTTATGAATTAGCCAT